GCGCCCGCGCATGCGCCGAGCCCACCTCGCTCTGCGCTTGCGCCGCCAGCGGCTCCGCCTCGCTCTGCGCCTGCGTGAGATTGCAGGGACACGTGACTCCCAGATCTAGAGACCGCGCCCGCGCCGAGAGCGGGGTCCATAAATACGTCACCGCCCCCAGCTGCGCCGCCTCAGCGTCCCTCTGCGCCTGCGCGAGGGGTCCAGGCATGTCACTACTCGTGCTGCGCGCATGCGCCCGAGGCATCGCCCTCCCTCTGCGCAGGCGCAGAGGGAGACTGGAGAAGGGGGAGGTGGCTCGCCTGACCCCGCCCCCTCCCCCATCACGTGATTTTCCCAGCCCCGCGCGCTCACCCCGGGGATGCTGCTGTCGTCCGGCGACTCCGCCATGGCCCCGCCGAGTCTCCCCTTCCCGGCAGTCCCTGCGCGGCTCGCGGGAGGAGGGATGATGAGGAGCTTCCCGACAACCTTTGCGCGGCGGGAATGGTGGGGCGGGCCTTAGAACTACAACTCCCGTTGGACCGTTCGCGCCATTTCCGGGTGCTGCTGCGCATGCGCATTGGGGTGGGAAGGGTGAGCTGGTTGCTATGGCAGTGTGACGCCATGGAGCCCGGGCGGCGGCCGCGCTACTTCACCCCGCGCGAGGTGGAGGCGCACGCGCGGCCCCGCGACCTTTGGGTCAGCTTCCTGGGGCGCGTGCACGACCTCACCCCACTGGCGCGCGAGCATCCCCCCTCCCCACACTTCCGGAACCACCCACTTCCGGAGTGGTGGGGTTCTCTTCCCTCCCCCCATGGGTCTGTGCTACTTCCGGTTCCCCCCACTGGGTCTCAGGCCCCCTCCTCTACTTAGCCTCTCCCCCCAAGGCCCCTCCCCCCACCCCAGAGTCGACTGTAGGTGGGGGCTGAGTGAAGGGTCTCAGTTATACTCAGCTGGGACCCTCCGTAGAGCTGGCTGCATCTCAGAAGGCTGGGGACACTTGCACCTGGCCATGGCCCACCCCAGAGCCGGATGCATCTTGGTGCTGAGTGAGGGGTCTCAGTTATACTCAACTGTGATCCACCACACAGCTGGATGCATCTCAGTGCAGAGTGAAGGGCCTCTGTTATAATTAGTTGTTGCCCAAGCTAGAGCTGGCTGCATCTCAGGATCAGGGACCCTGTTACAACTGGCTGTGGCCCACCTCAGAGCTGGCTGCATCCGAGTGCAGAGTGAGGGATCTGTTATACTCAGCCGTGACCCACTCCAGAGCTGGCTGTATCTCAGCGCCAAGGAAGGGATCTCTGTTACACTCAGCCATGACTCACCCCAGAGTCAGTCTCACAGCAGGGCCTCTCCAGCTGCCAGGGCGGATCCTGGGGGGCAAAGGATTCTGCTCCACTCCCCCCAACTAACTCCCCTCTATTGCCCCACCCCCAGGTGACGTGTTGCTGCGGCCCATCCTGGAGGCGGCGGGGACAGACATCACCCACTGGTTCAACCCCAAGACGCGAGATGTAGGTGCTGCCAGGGGCCAGGGCAGGGGAAAGGGACTCTTGGGGGCAAGGATTTCCTCCCCTACTTCCTGTCCTTCCTGCCAGACATGGGGCAGCAATTGCACCTTCCAGGTGGGTAGGCAGCTCCCGCTCCACCCCAGTGCTGGCTGCACTGGAGCCCCGGGTTGGGGGAAGAAGGTGTGGTATACACAGCCTCCCCTGAGAGCTGGCTGCATCACAAATGGGGGGTCCTTGTTGTACACAGCTGCCCATCCCCAGAGCTGGTTGCATTTCCTTTCCAGGGGGGTCCCTGTTATGTGAAGTCGGGTGCACCCTAGAATTAGCCCCATCTCTTTGCCATGACGGGTCCATTCCCCGCTCCCCCCACCCCCCTGCAGCTGCAGACCTGCGTGGATCCTCTGACAGGCTGCCCTAGATACTACACGCCCCAGGGCAGGGTCCTGCATGTGCCCCCGCTGCTGCCTCGCTCTGACTGGGCCAACGACTTTGGGGTACCGTGGTGGAAGGATGTCAAGTACGAGGTGGGCATCTTGTCAGCCAAGACCCGGCTTGTCCGTGTCATCAACACCCTCACGTCCCAGGAGCACGTGCTTGAGGTGAGCTGGGAGGGACCTGTGTGGCCCAAGGGCAAGGGTGGCAGGGCGTCTGTGGATCACTGGGGGCCCTAATGCCAGGCTGGGAGGGGTCTGTGGATCTCCAGGGCCTGCGAGGGGTCTCTGCCTTGGCTTTCCCCATGCTCAGTGCCCCCATGACCGCCCCCCTCAGGTGTGCGCGGAGGAGTCGCTGTGGGAGATCCTGCGGCGCTACCTGCCCAACAATGCGCATGCGGGCAGCTACACGTGGAAGCACGCGGGTGCCGTGCTGGACATGGAGCGCACGCTGGAGCAGAATGGTCTGGCTGATGACGATGAGGAGCTCTGGCACCTTGGCCTCGACCCCAGCCTCCATGCCCCTGGCCTGCTGCTGCACTTCAACGACGACCTCACCGAGCTCTAGGTAGGGCCTGGGCAGCACCTGGCACCCTGGGGTCTCTGTGGGGTTTGTACAGCGCCTGATGCGCAGGAGACAGGGCAGGACACAGCGCTCTTGGGAACCACAGGAGTCCTAGGTTCAAATCCTGGCCCTACTTGGGGGGGCTCAGTCCTGTGTGCCCACCTTCTCTCTGGGGTGGCAGGGCCTGGTCCCCTGCTCTTGTTGGGGGGCCTGGTGTCAATTCAGGCCCTGTGAGGGTCTCATCCTGCTCTGGGCAGGGTGGAGGCTGGTAAAAGCTCCGATGCTGAGATGGGAAGAGCAGGGGGAAGCCAGGACCCTGTGCGGTCTGTGCAGCACCAGGGCCCGATCCTGGAGGAGGGGGTCGTGCCTGGCTGTGTGGGGGGGACTTGCAGGTGGCCCCTCCACCCTGTCCTCCTGTCCTTTCTCTTCCAGGCCTGGCCATGCCCCCGATGTCCAGCCAGGGGTGCTGGAGTCTCATCTTAGCTCATAACACGAATAAATATTCTTGGTCTGGACCCCACCTTGGCCCTTCCTTCCAGAGAACAGAGCTGCCCTTGCCTGGTCGG